GTGCCGTCGGCCAGACAGTGCCGGCTGGCGACCCCAAGGGGGAGGGCCTTCTCTGTGGGAGCTCCCACCCTCTGGAATGAACTACCCCCAGAGATCAGGGTGATCCCTGATCTCCCTTCCTTCCGCCGCGCCCTTAAGACATGGTTATTCCAACTTGCAGGACTGGCCTAGGGGAAAAAAAATTTTAATGGGGGTTTTAAAGTAATTTCTAACTATTAGACCAATTATTAATATTTGTTTTTAATTATGTTTTTAATTTGTAGTTTTTTGGTAGTAGCATTTTATCTGGTTGTTAGCCGCCCTGAGTCCACAAGGAGAAGGGCGGGATATAAATTAAATAAATAAATAAATAAATAAATATAATAACCAGATAAAGTTCATTCATTTGGTTCATGGTGTCATGCAAATTCAGCATGGGAATTGTCAAGCAGCATAGCCAGCCTAAGATTTGTAGAACTGAAATCAGATACCTCAAGAGGACATTAGATTGAGGAGATATGCAGATCAACTTACCGAAAATTTGTCAGATATAGCTATTTCTTGTTTAGTGACCACAATTTGAACTGACAACATAGTCATTAAGCCAAGTAATCACTAAGTGACACTGACAATGTTTATGATTTCACTTCAGATTTCCTTTGCTTTACACACCTGCAAAGGTTATAAATGTGAGGATTGGTTATAAAGGTACTTTTTCATCACTGTCATAACTGCTAATAGTCAAGGCAGTCACTAAATGAGGACTACCTGCCCCTAGCAGTTAAACTCCATCTATCTGTCAATAAGTCTGAAGCTGAACTATGTGCCCTCTAGAAGTAAGCAGAAAAGTTAATTTCTAGAATTGTTTTTCTGAATAGGATTTTTCTCATCTTTACCCTCATTATTTCATTACAGTATGCCATCTCAGAGTAGCTTACAATATGAATAATAGAAATGAAATAGAAAGTTTTTTAAAGAAGAAAACTTTAGAAACAAATATAATATATTCACCCATACAAAACTTGATAGATCCAAACGTTTAAACAGAGTGCTATAAAAACCCATAGTACCTTAGCTATTTGGTTTTGTTTTGCAGAGCAATTTGTGATATATTCAATTCATTTTCCTCCTAAAACTGGTTCCCTTTAGGACCAGAAAGAACTCTAGCTTGTGGTCAAGTTATCTTCCTTTTTCTAGCCATTTGTTCTTCAAACGCATTTGTGGGGAGGTATGGATGAAGTAAACAAGAAACCATGATCAAAGTCATTTCCTGCTCTTATCTCTGTCACTCTGGACCAAGAGATCAAATGAGTTTAATACCACTTGGATAGCGGACATAGGTGAGCAACAGCCCCACCGTCTTCACCTAGGAAATTACTGCTTTTGAATTAAAAGGAAAGGAAAACTGTCCTGGCAAAAAATCTAAGGGGAAAACCTGATGAATTTGGCCCCAAAGGTAAGGGCAAAATACCTTCGGTAGGTGCTTGCATGTCCTATTTTTCTCTCATTATCCTTTCTGGATCTTGTGATTAATTTACCTTAAATGTCCCTGAAAATGCCCTACCCAGCCTCCTTTGAAAGATATTTTTTTTTTTTTTACAAACTCAGAATCTTGCACCACTATTTTAAGTCCGCATTTGGGCATGTCTGAAGGCTGCATGTCATTACATCAAGCAGTGTGACATAGGAGACATACGATTACAAAATTTGTCACTTTCCCTTTCCTTGTGTTGGGAGGAACTCCCCCGTCCAGGCTCTTCCAGCCGGGATTCTCCTTAACAGCGCAGAGGAGGACAAATAGAACGTGAAGCCAGCTACCGGAAAGAGAGGTTTAATCATGGAGATTAAAGTTGAGTGACAATTCAGCATGAATCCCCGGCTAGCTAGACAGAATGGTCTTCAAACATGAGTTTTTATACCCTTTTGTGGTTTCCAAAATTGTCATTTCTGATTGGTGAGTTCAAATCTGTCTTCCCTGATTTGCTGGTCAGTGACTATTGTTGGGTAAATTTCCTTCTTAATCCTGCCTGAAAGGTGTTAATCATTTTATTGTTGTGTATTTGTTAATCCTAATTGCTGCTAGCCAGTTCTCCATTCAGTGTGTGTTAAGTGTTTGCCATCCAGCCTCAGGCTGCTGCTGAATCAGGTTAGCTCGTATTGGGTTTTTTCCTGTGTTTGCCAAGTCATTCCCTCGTTGGGTTGGGGAGGGGGTGTCCAATTCTTATCACTTGCAATCCACTTTCCTTTCATGATCAAAATCTTAAGGCTTTTTCTGATGATGTTTTTTTGTACTACTTCAGTGTAGATTTTTAATTTCCCTTGTGATGGATTAAAGTCTTCATCCTGGTTCATCCAAGCCGGGGATAAATAAGCAACATGGCGTCTGCTTTAGAAAGAAGGTTGCAGTTTATTGAAGAGCCAGACAGCAAGATGGTTCTGGCAGGAAAGAAGGGGAAAAAGGGCTGAGCACATGTGGCTAGTAGGTTTTTATACCCCTCTCAAGCCTTTTGTTTAGTTTCCTGTTCCTGTTTCAGGCTTTGTATTTCCTGTGTCACATATTCTGACCTGAGTGTGCCTCTCTGGCACTCCTGTTGTTGGTGGGTTAATCCCATCATATATCCTGCTTCCCTGGTGCTAGGGCTAATGACTCCTAGAGTTTGGGTGGGGTATGCAGATTTTAGGTGTCTTTGTCTTCTCCTGATAGTTTACATTTGCATTTGTATAGAGCTGGCTTCTGCTTGGGACAGAGACTTGGGGGCAGGGTTGGTTTCTGCTTTTAAAATCCTTTTGAGGAAATATATTTTTCTGCCCTTTTAATATTTCCTTCTCTGGGGGGCTGACTTCCCACACTTGTATCAGCCTTTCCACTCTCCAAAGTCTCTTTTCATTCCCCTGTATTACTTCACCATTTTTTTGTGAAATTATTGCTATACTTCCTCATTCAAATCATTTCTCTTTTTCACCGTCTTTTTCCTTTCATTCCCGTGTCCTCGATTTCCAATTTTGTGTTTACTTTTACATCCTACCCCAAAGATGCTTTTTCACAAGGCAACTGGACTTTCTTGTTCTTCTTTGAAGACGTTTCCCTTCTGATCCAAGAAGCTTCTTCAGCTCTGACTGGATGGTGGGGAATGGAAGGATGTAAAAAGATTGCAAAAGGTGATCACGTGACCCTGGGATAGTCCAACTGTCATAAATATGAGTCAGTTGTTAAGTCTCCAAATTTTGATCATGTGACCATGGGGATGCTGCAACAGTGGTTAAGTGTGAAAAATGGTCATAAGTCACTATTTTCAGGGCTATTGTAACTTTGAACAGTCACTAAATGAACTGTTGTAAGTCGAGGACTACCTGTATATCCTACCTCTTTCTCCTGTCTTGGTGCAGTGGCTTGGCATCCTTCTCCAGTATATGTGAGACAGGATCCCCATAAGCTATGTTGCTCGCCTGGCAATTTAAAAGAAAAAATAAAAATCTAGAGTGCCAAATCCTGGAACTTTAATGTTGAGGAGATAGTCCCTCTAGAGATAATTTAAATGCAACTTGAGGAAGAAGCAATTTTTAGCTTTAAATTCTCCCAAGCCAAACATTCATTGGCAAAAAAAGAGAGGGGAAAATATAAACCTACTCAAATTCCAGAGCACTTTAGAAAAATATAAAGGACAATATGAACCTCTGAGCAAAGCCATTGGTCTGGATCCAATGTAGAAGTAGCTGCTTATAAAATTGCAAAAAAAAATAATACAAATACTGAGGTTGCACAGAGAGAATACATTTTAGACACGATAAAACTTAAATAGTTTTGCCTATACCTAATTCCTCTGGAACACACAGATTCCTGAAGTAAAGCATTTTGTTTGCTTCCCTGTATTTTTTCTCCATCTCCTAATACAATATTTTTCTACCTTGACAAAGAGGTGCGGACGTCAACTCCCAGAATTCAAGTAGTTGTCAAGCTTCTTGAATTCTTGCCCTAATAGATTCAGACTTTGATCAGGAGGAAGATGCTATTTATTTCCTTTATCTTTCTCGGGCTCTCAGCCTCTATCTTTATTTTAAAACAAAACTTTGCAATACAAGAAGGTAGGGGCTAGGAGCATCTGCTTCTTATATGCTTCTTAATCTGCTTCTTAATCTCTCTCTGAGATTATTATAGATTCGGATCATTGGCTGCCTCATGGGATGCCAGCCATTCAGTTTATCTATTTATTGACTATACAATAGTCAATAAATTATAGGGCTGTTTGACAGGTTCCAAGTCACAATGATGAAGTTGGCAATTTTTGGTGCCTTCACATCAATTTTTGACTCTGGTGACTCATTGGATATATCCTGGCAATTTTCTTGGCAAGCGTTTTTGGAAGCGGTTTGCCATTGTCTTGTTCCCAGAGCTGAAAGTGACTAGCCCATGGTGCACAAAGCAGGACTAGAACTCATGATCTCCTACTTTCTAGCCTGATGTCTTAATCACTACATCAAACTGGCTGTCCAGGGAAGTCCTATCTCAGCCAAACCCAAGTAAATTGTGGTTTAGTTACATTGTCATCCTTGCTCTGCCCCCCAGCCCACCAGAAAGGTCCCTCCCTCCCTCCTTCCTTTCCTATTAAATATCAAAAATATTGTTTTCTAATAGTGCTAGCAGTAATACCTGGTTCATCTGCTGCATTTCCTTTCAAGGTAGGCAAACACCACTCCGACCTACCTAGCGGTACTGTGTGTGTGGGCCAGAAACATGCCTGTCTTGTCACTGTTTTCCATTAAAAAAAAATAATAATAACTTCACCAAAGAAATAGAACACCTGATTTTTTTAAAAAAAAAATCACTATTGAAACACTAACATGTCTTGAAAACTGGACTTGCATGTTTTTTTCCCCCTCCACTAGGTGAAATCGACAAGAATTCTGCCACTTTCTCCTTCTAAACCAAGCAACAGAAAAAATGGTACTTTTCTTTTCCTCCCTCTGTGGTCAAAACTAGGTCAGCTGTTGGGTACCTCAGTGTTGGAGGCTGAAGTATTACCATGAACATTCCCGAGATTGGAGTGATTGACTAGCAGGGTGCATGGAGTAAATGCATAATGCTCTTGTTCAATGTTTCTCAATCTTGGGAAGGTTAAGATGTGTAGACTTCAATTCCCAGAATTCTCCAGCCAGTCATGCTGGCTGAGGAATTCTGGGAGTTGAAATCCATGCATCTTAAAGTTGCTAAGGTTGAGAAACACTGCTTTAGCTACATCCCACTGGCCCCTTATGCTTAGTAGGTCACGAGGCACTTAAAATATTAGTGCTCTTGGACTCACACCTCCAACCGGTGCGAAGGAGGTGGGAGCAGAACATGACTAGGATGACCACAATGGCCAAAGAGAAAGAACTTCTCTGTAGTGCCTCAAAATCGCTAGACAGTTTTGAATGGCTGTCTACCATTTCTTAAAGCAAAGGGAGCATAGCAATAGCACTTGGATTTATATACCGCTCCACAGTGCTTTACAGCCCTCTCTAAGCGGTTTACAGAGTAGGCATATTGCCCCCACCAATCTGGGCCCTCATTTTACTGACCTTGGAAGGATGGAAAGCTGAGTCAACTTTGATCTGGTGAGAATCAAACTGCTGGATGTTGACAGTTAGCCTGCAATACTGCATTCTAACTACTGCGCCATTGTGGCTATTAGTTGAGATCATCAGTATCCAGGTTAGAGGATCTTCTTTGGCTTGCTATTAAGCATGACTTAAACATCCTATGCTAGTGAACTATAACATGCCCAGGTTGCTGGGGGAAATGTAATTCCACACTTTTGGAAGCCTGGCTTAAGGAAAAGTGCTCAGCTCAGTTCCTTTTAGCTCCTTCATCTTCTTCTTGTAGGTTCCCTCATCCCTGTTTTCTATGATTTTCTCTCCAGTTTCAGAGCCAGTCCGTCACCAAACTCCACATTGCCAGCATTCTTACCTCTTCTCACCTGGATCAGCCCCCAGACGGGCAGGGCGTCCTTTACAAGAAAAATAACCGCACCGCTTCCTATCAGCGCTGCTGGTGTGAGCTCCGAGGAAATCTTCTTATCTGCTGGGAACAGCCCGGGGACCGGGCTCCTTGTCAGCTCATTGTGTTAGAAGGCTGCACGGTGGAGTTGCAGGAATCCTCCTCTGAGCCTCATACTTTTAAAATCTGCTACCCTGATGACTTCCCTGATCAGACCTATAAGATGGCAGCTGAGGATCAAGAGACCATGGAAGACTGGGTGCGCGCTCTGAGCACGGTGGGATTTGAGCACCTCCAAGCGTTGGTTACTGAGCTAGAAGGCCAATTTCACCGGTTGAAGAGCCAACAGTACTCAAAGGAAGAAGCAAGTTGCAAGGCAACAGACCTTCCCTTGCTGTCTCCAAAACCGGTAGAACAAAAAAGATTCTGTCACATGGATTTTACTTGCCTCCATCAGGAATTTGGGAAGGAGGTCAAAAGGGCTAGGAAACAGTGGCAGGAGGGAAAGGGGAAGCTCATCCCAGAAAGTGAGAGTTTGATGCCTTTTGAATAGGGCGATCGGCAATCCCCAAACAATTGGCTGCGATTGATGAATTTGGAGGTGCCTAAAGTTTCAGTGGAGTCGGTTATCAGTGAAAAAGATAGTTCTTGCTTCAAAATATTGGTTCTTCTTTAAATGCTTTTAATAAATATGTCTTTGGAAAAAGTTGGGAGCCATTTTGTTTTTTGCAGCAGTCACCGCATTCAGGAAGAACAAGAGCTCTTCTTGGGAAAGGGACATTTGTGGGTTCCTTATTGTGGGTTTTGATTACACCAATGTCGAGTGAACAAAATGAAACAGTGGTCCCCCCCCCCCCCGGCAAGGTCTTTTCCAGGAAGAGTCAAACTATTATTTTCCAGTTAGGCAGGATTGGGATCTACAAATACTGCAGCCAGATCTATACTAAACAGCAGGGGCCTATCACTAACAAAAATGGGCACAGATTCCCAAATGTATGTTTAGAATAAAACATGGAATCCAGTTTTGAAAAAAGGCCATCTATATTGGCTTCTGCAGTCTGATATGATCTAGATCAGGGCTTTTCAACCTTTTCACCCATTGTACCACTTTTAGGATATGGCAATATCCGAGTACCACCAGTCGCCTAGCAAGGTGTCAAAAACTTGACCCAAAAAAAAAAAGGGGAAAAAGTGATAAAGTACAGGTAGTCTTAAACTTACAACAGTTCGCTTAGTGACTGTTCCAAGTTACAATGGCACTGAAAAAAGTGCCCCCCAAGCCACAGCCGAGCAAGTCACCTGCCTGCCCACCCAATGGCGCTCTTCCTCCTGTCCGAGGTTTTCATTGTTGTGAGCATTTCTGTTGAGGATTGGCAGTGGGGGTGGGGTGGGGTGGTGTTTGGTTTTTATTCCCCCCATCTGCTGGGTGGTTGTAGCAGGTTTTGGTCGCTTCATATGACCCTGGGACACTGAGACCGTCATAAATATGAATCAGTTGCCAAGCATCTGAATGTAAATCACAAGACCCTGGAGATGCTGCAACATTCCAGCTGATGGCGCTTCTTCTGGGCTCAGCAGAAGTGGCAGGATCAGCGCCGAGCTCCAGCTGGAGCCTGGCACTGATCCTGGCACTGTCATGTGTCTGAGTAACGAAACACTTAAAAAGACTTTCAGGCATGTTTTCTCCTAAAAGCATTTATTAAGATTACAATACGTCAGCACAGCATGGTGGAATGCTTAGATCTGCTTCTCTTCCGTTAGGCATAACATTCCAACCATTTTCCACTCCCTTATTTTAGGGTCATGGTTCATATCTTCCAATCAACTTGGAAGATGTGATTTACTTCCGGTTTCTTTCTCCTGGGCTATCCTTATGCTCCTCCCCCTTTCCTGGTTGCTGGTTTAACTATATAAATACCAGACAGTTCTGCACATTGTCAAAGCAAGAATATACAGTATTTGCAGCATTGACATTTGGCCCCCCTTACAAAAAAACAGATCCTGTAAAGCAAACCAAAGCATATGTTAAGGGTCATCTTTCGGTTTGTTGGGGTGTTTCACATGAAACCTTTTGACCAATCTATTAGCCTTTACTTCACTGGATTTCACCCAGGTGGCTTCGGACAATGGGTATCCCTTCCATTGTATTAAATACTGCAATTTCCCTCTAAAAATTCTAGAGTCAAGAATACG